AGCCCCCTTAGAGGAGGCTTTCTGATCCGGCCAAACAGCTGTCCGCTCACAGATTTGGATCCACCTTCAGGGACTCATGCAGTCTTCTTTACAAGGCAACCTGGTGCTGGGTGTGGTGGTGCACGCCTCTAATTCCAGCTTCTCAGAAAGCTGAGGCAGGAGGATCTCAAGTTTGAGGCCAGCCTGGGTGATTTATCAAGACCCTGTCTCAGAAAAATAAAAAGGGCTGGAGCAGGCGCTCAGCGGTAGAGTCCACTAAGCATGCGCGATGCCCTGGGGCGCATCCCTGCTTGTGTGGGGGGGCGGTGGGCTGTCACTCAGAAGTCAGACCCGCCCACCGACCTGCAGCTCTGGCCTCCCTGGGCCTAGTGTTAATAGAGAGGAGGGGGCAGCCTGGGCTGTGATCCGCAGCTGCGGATTATGCTTGTGTTCCTCACCTTCCGGGCAGAAGCTTTGACCAATCGCTCTCACTTTTTTGTTGTTATTTTGAGACAGGGTCTCGCTATGTAGCTCAGGTTGACCTTGAACTCCCTAGCAGCCCAGCTGGCTTTCCACTCATGGCGACCCTCCTGCCTCACCCTCCTGAGTGCTGGGATCACCAGGCCCAGCTGATTGATCATTTTCACCTTTAACTCTGTGATCAGGAATTGGCCAGAGCTTTGCTACTCATATTGAACCCACACCTTAAAAGTTCTCGTATTGAGACCTCAGAATAGCGGCCAATCTTTTAATGGACCTTAAAATAATTTTCCCAAAGGCGGCCTGCGGCGGCTGTGTTCGCTGTCCCCCGCCTGCCCCGCGCCTGACATCGGACATTACTCGGGGATGGACACGCGTCCTGCGTGCTAGCAGCAAATGCGTGGCTTCCGCAGCCCCTTACAGCGACCTGACTTGCGGAGTACGACTGACTTGAGGAACAACGCTCAAATGTGATGCTCTTCGTCACCTGTCCTCCCACTCAGAGCTGACGGGACACGGCTGTGGGCGCCCGCCCGGAGGGGAAGTGAGCCAGGACCCCAAGAGGAACTGGAACTAGGAAGGTCTCTGGCTCTCACTGTTACATCACCGCTGCCTCGCCTGCCTTTCATTCCTCCTCCTTCCTCAGACCCTCTCTGTCAGGCTGCGCTCTAGTTGTCTCCATTGGCTCTGAACCCAGCACTGCCCCCTCCGGCGTGGGGCCACCCCTTCCACAGGGAGTGGGGTGGAGCCCATGGGGCCCACCTGGCCTTCAGGGCTTCTTCCTGCGGGTGGAGACAGACACCCCACAGGGTCAGAGTTCAGGTAGCCACTTAACTGATCTGTAGATAATAGAGGGTGTGGGGTTACCTCATTCAATTATCTGGCCTTTTGAAGATTCAACGAGAAATTCCAGGGAACTATTCAGCATCCTAAGTGAAATAAATCTGTTAAAAAACAACAGTTGGGCACGTGTAATGTCGTGGCACACACCTGTAACTCCAGCTACTTGGGAGGCTGAGGCAGGAGGATTGGAAGTTTGAGGGCAGCCTGGGCAACTTAGCAAGACTATCTCAAAATAAAAAGTAAAAAAGGGGGCCAGGGATTTAGCTCAGTGGTTCTGCTGCCTGCCTTGCAAGTGCAAGGACCCGAGTTCAATCCCTGGTACCAAACAAAACAAAACTAAAATAAAAAGTAAAAAAGGGCTGGGGATGTAGCCCAAATGAGGTCCTGGATTCAACTCCAGTACCACATAATAATAATGATAATGATAATAGCAAGAAAAACAGCAATAATAATTTTAAAAGATGAAAACAAGGTAATAGGAAGAACAACAGAAGCCAGACATGGTGGTGCACACCTGTAATCCCAGTACTGGGGAGGCTGAGGCAGGAGGATCCCCGCAAGTTTGAGGCCAGCCTGGGCGACACAGTGAGTGTAAGGCCAGCCTGGACTTCGTAGCGAGACGTTGTCTAAAAGAAACAAAAAATACAATTCCTTTCCTTTTTAAAAATAAGAAATGGGGTCTCGCTGTGCTGCCAGGTTGGGGTACAGTGGCTCCTCACAGGCATGAGCCCACCACTGAGCAGCACGAGATTTATTTACTCATTTATTTAACAGTACTGGAGATCGAACCCAGCACCTCTGCTCTGAGCTACATCCTCACCCTTTTTACATTCTGAGACCAGGTCTTGCTAAGTGTCTAAAATCCTGGGCTCATGCAATCCTCCTGTAGCCTTCCGAGTAGCTGGAACTTCAGCGGCCACCCTGCTCTCTCTTTCCCTCTCAGCTCCTCTTCTCCCCCAGTGCTGGGGACAGAACCCAGGGCCCCACACAGGCTAGGCAGGTGCTCCACCACTGAGCTCTGCCCTCCCCTTGTATCTAACCCTCAAAGCTCTTTCTCATCCTCTAAATGTTTGTAAGAGGCCTACTCTCATTTTATGAATGGAAATGGCTTTTACATATCGCTAAATATATTTATGCATTAGAAGGGGAAGTGTTTTTTTTTGCTGCTTGAAGTATTGCTGTCTTCTCAAAGTTCCTTTTTCTTGTTTATTTTAGACTCTTCCCGATGGGAGTCTTTACTCAAATACTTGGTGATCCTTGACTCTTGGTTCATGTTTTGGGTTTTTTTTGGTACCAGGGATCGAACTCAGGTCCTTGTGCTTGCACAGCAGGCTGTGAAACCAGTGAGCTAAATCCCCAGGGCCCTTGGTTCATGTTTACTAGCAAGGTCGACAGGCTGCTCGAAAGCTCTGGTGCAGATGGGAGGGGACTTAGCGACCAGTAGGAAGCACATCCGGGTCACCGGAGAGGGGGTCCCTGGGGTTCCCACAGTGTTAGGGTGTACGGATCTCTCCTCCAGGGATGCTCGATTCTCTTAAGGAGCCATACTTGCTTACTTATTTTTATTTATTTTGAGACAAGATCTCACTGTACAGTTCAGGCTGGCCCTGAACTCACTATGTAGCAAAGCTGGCCTTGAAAATTGCTGCAATCCTTTTGTCTCAGCCTCTGAAGTGTGGGTTTTGTTTTTGAGACAGGGGCTTGCTATGCAGTTCAGGCTGGCCTTGAGTTTATTGCAATCTTCCTGCCTCAGCCTCCTGAGGGCTGGAATTATAGGTGTGCACCACCATACCTGGCCTAAAATATTTATTTTGTTTTGTTTTATTTTGTTTTTTTGGTACCGCAGATCGAACTCAGGACCTTATGTTTGTGAAGCAGGCAGCAGAACAACTGAGCTAAATCCCCAGCCCCTAAAATATTTATTTTAAAAATAAAGAATAAAAGCAGGCAGAGGCCGGCTGTGATGGTGCATACCTGTTTCTACTAGCTATCTTGGAGGCTGAGGCAGGAGGGTCACAAGTTCAAGCCCACCTTGTCTCAAAAAACCTGAGAAAATTAAAATTAAAATCCTTTTAATTGTGAAGAAATAAAATAATGAAGCTTAATGAGCCAAATAACAGCATCTGCAAAGAGAACCTGCAGCCAGACTTCCGGAAAAAGATGGCAGCCAGTGGCTAGACTGTGACTCCCTTTCCTTTCTGTCTAGTGAAGAGGGCAAAAGCCATTGTTAAAACACCTGGGGAGAAGTGTCTAAAAAAGGAGACAGAGCCAGGTTAATCCCATTAACTCCTGAAAGTGACAGTGCAGGATGGGATGAGAGAAAGAATAACCTGGGGTCAGAGCAAACCATGGCAGAGCGCCTAACACCACCGGCAGAACTGAGCCCAGGCCAGAAGAGGACAGAGCCCAGCCGCCGTTAATGGTGAAGCCCTGGGCAGGAACCTGGACACAAAGCAAGTGGACTGCAACAGGGAAGTGTTCAGGCTCCTACAGCAAGGAGGACAGGCTGAGCCCGCAATGATGTCCACCCCTTAAAATAGGGTACCCTCGGGCGGGACAAGACAAACAACAACTTCCACCTCTTCAAGTTTCCCATAAACCTCTTCCTGTTTTTCTTTTCTTTTGCTTTTTTTGAGCTAGGGTCTCACTATGTAATTCACACTACTCTTGAACTCCCTATGTAGCCCAGGATGGCCTCAAACTCATGGTGAGCCTCCTGCCTCAGCTTCCAGAGTGCTGGGATTACAGGCATGTGCCACCATGCCTGGCCAAAAAACAGTATTTCTAACACATCTAATGTTAATAATTCTTTTTTAAATTTTATTTTATTTTTTTTTGTTAATGATAACTCTTGATGGGTGGTGATATTTGAGATTTCTTTTTGTTTTGTTTTGTTTTTGGTACCAGGGATTGAACTCTCAACCTTGAGCTTGCAAAGCAGGTGCCAGAACCACTGAGCTAAATCCCAGGCCCCTTGAGATAATTTCCTACCATCATCATACTTTTTCTTCAGTGCTTCAATTCTTTTTTCAGTAGCATGTGTTACCAAGTGCGGTGGCTCTCGCCTGTAATCCTAGCACTTGGGAGGCTGAGGCAGGAGGATCCCTGGAAGTTCAAGGGCAGCCCAGGCTACATAGTGAATTTGAGGCCAGCTTGGACTACACAGTGAGAACTTGTCTCAAAGCAACAACAAAAATGACAACATCACCTATGTCAGTTTATATTTACCCCGTTAATCTTTGAGCAACCCTAGAGCTGGACAGGGAGCTGTACATACACAGAGAGAATCCCGTGCCACTGCTCTCCACAGAAGCCCCCCAGGCCCGAGCCAGGTCCCTTGGCCTTGTCCTCGAGCCCCTCCTGCCCAGGTCGGGGTGCACACACAGGATGCAGGTCACCTCTGTCCCAGGACCCTTAAGAGGTGGCCTCAACCTTCTACCTGAGCCCTGAGCATAGGAGACACAGCCTCACCCTGCCTCAGTTTATCCCTGGACAACGAGCCCACTTCTAGTTTCCAGAAACGTGCCCCCAAAATGCCAGCTGACACCAGCAACCCCTAGATGATCCCCACCCCCGGACCCCTCACACTGCCCTGGAATCAGGACACATGCAACAGTTTCATGTTTATTTCCAGAAAGTGATGGAGACAAAAGAAATAACATCCAGACTCCACTCTCTGCACAATAAATAGCCTCCCCGTTCAGAAAAGGAAAAAGAAAGAAGCGCTTGAGTACGACCAAGAAGACCTGGCGCGCCCAGCCCCTTTCTCTGGACCCCAGTGTCTTGGCCCTGAAGTGGGGGCCAGGCCAGCTCCCCGCAGCCCAGGTCCGCCCTGACCTGCCCAGCTGCTGTCAGGTCCGGGTGTCCTCACGCCCGGAGCAGGCTCGCTCAGGAGGACAAACCTGCGGTCACTCCACAGAGGACGGGGGGCCAGTGGCCTCAGCCCAGCCCAGCTCCCTGTGTCCAGGGCCTCCCGGCAAGTGAACCCCGGAGTCCTCCTTGGCCCCCTCTGCCCCAACCAGTCCCTACAAGGAGGAGGGCCGGAGGGAGGGGGCTTCTCCGCCCGGGTCTGGCTCCCCGCTGAGCCGATGGCCTCCGACTTAGCGACGCAGGATCCCTCTGCTGCTCTGCACCCTCTGCTCAGTTGGGAAAATAGTTATAAAACTGGCCCTCTGCATCCTTCTCAGAAGGAGAAGGGGCCCCGGCAGGGGACGAGCTGTCGCCACTGGAAGGGTAGGGAGACACGCGTCTCCTCTTAGAGTCTCCTTCGCCCAGTCCTGAGTCGCCGGGCTCTGGCCGGAGCGGGGTGACCTCGGTCCACAGTGACGGGGAGCCCTGCTCGTCCGGCCCCCCACCCTCAGGGGCTCCAGGTTCCACGGGCAGAGTCCGCATGGGGCGGAACCAGTTGGCCGGGCCCATCTTGGGAGGGTACTGGGGAGCCACGGGCCAGCTGGCCCCGGGGGCCAGGACGTCCTGGCCTCGGTAGTAGGACATGGTGGGGCCCGGGCCGGAGGGCAGGAAAGCTGGCTTCATGCTGACGGCTCGGAAGTCGGACTCGTAGCTGTGGTCCCGGGGGGCGGCCAGCCAGTATGGCTGCGAAACCACGTCCTTGGCCTGGCCAACAAGGTCGGGGTAGAAGCAGCTGGGGACGGGGTACTGGTTGGAGAGGAGAGGGGAGTAGGGGTCTCCCCCCAGCAGTTGACAGTTGGGTCCAGGTGGGGAGGGGACGCTGGTGTCCACAGATGCATACATGCTACAGAGACCGGGAAGCAGGTGGTCAGGGCGCTGCGAGTCCCGTCCCAGACCTGCCCTCCGCCTCTGTCCCTCCCGCCCTCCCTCTGGGGCGGGGACAGGACTTGTCACAAAGGACCAAAGTGACTCGAACAGCATGGCACTTACGACTCGAAGTTCTCCCGGAATCCCTTGGCGAAGGGGTTGTTATCGATTTTCAGCTGCGTGATCTAGAGGGGGGACACAGCGTCACCTGAGACCCCAGCCCGGGAACATCCCAAGTCCCTCCCATGGGAGACCCTGCCCGGTCACCTCCGCGTTCTGGTAGGCGGTCACGGCGATGAACTGGGTTTCTCGGAAGGTGAAGATGTGGGTGCTGGGCGCCGGGCAGGCGGCCTCGGGCTCCCCGTCGGTCACCTCCACGATGTGCAGCCGGGGCTGGTACTTGTGCAGGGACTGCAGCACGATCATCTGCAGAGTGCCAACAGGCGCACGTGGTCGAGGGAGGCGTGAGGGCCCCCGTCCTGCTACGAGGCCGGTGGATGGCCCTGGGCCATTTTGTCCCTCCCTCTGCCCTGCCACCGAATAACTTCTCCCAGGCCTTCCAACTCTGGTCCCCAGCCTCTTTGGGACACCGGTTCTAGCCTCTTGTGCCCTTTCCCACACCCACCACACTCTGACCAAAGTATTAGCATAAAACAGAGGGCCTTTAAACTGGGTGTGGTGGCGCAAGCCTGTGATCCCAGTACTCAGGAGGCTGAGGCAGGAGGCTCTCAGAGAGTACAAGGCCAGGCTGGGCTACACAGTGAGTTCGAAGCTAGCCGGAACTACATAGCGAGACTCTGTCTCAAAAAAAAAAAAAAAAAAAGAGGGCCATGGGTATAGCTCAGTGGCACAGCACCTGCCTGGTAAGTGCAAATATTGAGTTTGATCCCCGTACCTCAAAAAAAAAAATGGGTTTACAGAACAATGTCACCCTCCAGGAACTCCCTCGGCTTGAGGGTCTCAGACTCCCGGGGACGCCACCTGGAAGCCAGGAATGCCGACCTGGGTCATGTTGTTCGAGGCGCCTTTGTTGTTGGTGAGTTTCAGTTTCCCGAAGGAGACTTCCTGGCGCATCCAGTGGGCACCAGTGTTGGGGGAATCCGGGTGCACGTAGAGGCGGTTCCCTGCAGACAGTGGACAGTGGTGGACAGCTTTGGCATCCCCCCGTGGCAGACCCTGGTGAGGAAGGGCTCCGCCTGCTGGGGTGGGTGTGTGTGTGTGTGTGTGCGTGTGTGTGTGTGTGTGTGCCCGCGTGCTTGCTTGCGCAGAAGACAAAGGGAAGCAGGAATGGGGCTGGGCCGGGCTATGGAATTAGGCCCTTGGGAGTAACGGCCCAGGCCATCCACCAGGGGGCGCCCACCATTCCTGGGGCACATACCTGGCATGCTGCCCTCGGCCTTGCCACACTGCACCCACTTGCCACTCTGGTACCGCCAGTGGTGCTGGTCCACCAGAACCACATCCACAAACATCCTGTAGTGGCTAGTGGGCTCCAGCCCAGCCACGGTGAAGGACAGGAATGGGAACATCCGCCTGTGAGGAGAGAGAGCCCCTTCCTGTGTCAACTGCCCTGGGTCGGTGCCTCTCACGAGGTGCACATGGTGAGCCCAAGCTGGCCTCCGCCTGCTCCCCACAGCCAACTGCAAGTGGTCAGGAAGTCGGCTGGCCAGGTGCTAAATACAACTATTGACCTTTCATTGATCCTCCTGCCCCAGCCTCCTGGGTGCTGGGATTACAGGTGTGAGCCACCATGCCTGGCTTAAGCTTTTTGTTTTGTTTTGTTTTTTTCCCTTTTCCTCTCTTTTGGTACTGAGGATTGAACCAGGACCTTGCTATATCACTGGGCTGCATCCCCAGCCCCTGGGAGCATTTTAAATGCTCACCTCTTAGAGTGGCACTGGTCCCTAACTATAGGGGACCAGTGCTTCCCAGGCGAGCAAAGGCACAAGCCAGCCCTGCATGGGCTGGGCCTCAGTCCCCGCCCCTCCTCTGCATGTGACTCCTGGCTCCTAGGCTGTGGCACAGCACGCAGCCCTCTCGGCCACAGCCCTGGGCCTGGCATCTGCAGCAGGTTGCTCAGGTCCTGGGTGGACAGGGAGCCCTCCAGCTTCCTGGACAGGGTGCAGGGGACCCAGCCCTCATGGCAGGTCTTGGTCCCCAGGAACAGGAGAGTTGGGGTGCAGTGCTGCAGAACCCCCACTGTGATGCCGTCTGCTCTACAGCAAGCCCTCTACCACTTCTACCATGGCTTCCCCATTATCTCCCTCACTGCAACCACCGCCTCCACTATCACAACCACCATCGCCCTGGCGCCATCTCCACCATCGATGCAACCACGGCCCCATGGCTGCCATGGCTACCCCACCCCCACCGCCACAGTCACCTCCCAGCCATCACTGCTCACCTTCAGCGCCCACCTGCACACCCACCCTCCCTGCAGGGACCCACCCTCCCTCTAGCCACGCTCTCCACCCACCCCCCTGTCTAAGTGGCAGCCACCAATCCTCCAGCACCAGGCCCATCGCCAGCTCCCACGGCCCAGCCCTTCTCTCCAAACCCAAGCAGGAAGAGCAGGGCCATAGAATGGCAGAAGCAAACCCTGTCAGAAGTGCCTTTCATCCCCTCCCTTCCCCCTCCCCCTCCCCTCTATCCCCTCCCCTCCCCCTCTCTTTTAGCCCCTCCGCCCCCTTCCTCCTCCCCTCCCTTTCCTTTCCCTCCTTGCCCTGCCCTGGTCTCTGAGTCAGGAACCCTGGGGTCAGGGGAAGAGTTCCAGGGTCCCCGTACACTTTTTGGTAGGCACCAGTCCCCAGTGGGTCCCCAAACCACATCCCTAACAATCTCGGGAAGGTCTCCCAGGAGGGTGCCCTCATATTCCCGTTTCCCCCAGAATCCTGGGCCCAGAAAAAGAGACCTGTTGGCGCCACAGCCTTGGATACGTTTACTCCCAAACCAAGTCTCAATTTCCTCACCTGTGACTGCAGGTAAGAACTGGGTCGTCTTTCCTCAGCAAGTGGTTTAGAAGCTCAAAAGATGTTAAACTCAAGCAGATGCAGGAGTGCATACTGTAATCTTGGCACTCGGGAAGGCTGAGGCAGGAGGATCCCAAATTCAAACCCAGCTTGGGCAACTGAGTGACTCAACAACACTATATCTCAAAATTTAAAAAATTTTTTTCTTTTTTTTTCCGGTACTGGGGATCAAAGTTGGGACCTTGCACTTGCAAGCCAGGTGGTGGAACCACTGAGCTAAATGCCCAGCCCTCAAGAGTAAAAATTTTTAGCTGGACCTGTCATCCCAGCACTTGGGGGGCTGAGGCAGGAAGATTGCTGTGAGTTCAAGGCCAGTCTGGGCTACGTAGCAAGAATCTGTCTGAAAAAAAATTTTTTTTAATGTTTTTAATTTATTTATTTATTTTTATTTTTTGTACCAGGGATCGAACCTGGGTCCTTGTGCTTTCGGGGCAGGCAGTGGAACCACAGAGCTAAATCTCTGGCCCCTGAAAGGTTTTGTAGCTAAGTGTAAAGGTCCTGGGTTCAATCTCCAGTACAGGAAAAAAAAAAGGGAAACTCAGCTCATCTGTCCTTTTTTTTTTGGTACCTGGGATTGAAGTCAGGTCCTTGCGCTTTCGAAGCAGGCGGTGAAACCACTGAGCTAAATTCCTGGCTAATCTATCTTCTGCCAGGGTGGAAGCTACCACAGCCCCCTAGGCCGACTGGAGGACACTGAACAAGGGACAGAGCTCTATGTCCAGGCCCTGCGTCCCAGGGACTTGGCAGGCTGATCGGCTGGAGGATGAGGATTAGGCCTTGAACAAGTGAGCAGTAAGAATATTTCCACCCTGGTGCAACCTGTAATCCCAGCACTAGGGAGACTGAGGCAGGAGGATTGCCATGAGTTCCAAGACAGCTTTGGCTACCTAGGGAGACAGCCTCAAAAATCCAAAAAACAGTATTTCCAACCCATTTCTTGAAAGTTCTCAACCTCTGACAATGGTAAAGCCACTCAGATGTTTCTTATTTTGTAACCAGTTCCTGTCCAAACTTGTAGGAATAAAGGAATGGAAGTGAACACTCCTTTTTTCTGATGCTAGGGATGGACCCCAGGGCTTCATGTACGCTAGGCAAGTGCTCTACCTCTGGGCTGCACCCCCAGCCCTGAAACGCAGTATTGTGCCCCAGCCAGTTTATTGGGCCAAGCCTTTAAGATATAAGAGTTGGTTTCCCCCCCAAAAAAGAAAAAAAAATCATAAAGGGCCGGGGATTTAGCTTAGTGGTTTTACCGCCTGCTGTGCAAGCACAAGGACCCGAGTTCAATCCCAGGTACCAAAAAAAAAAAAAAAGACTTGGTTTCCTATTTTATATCTGAAGAAAGTGAGGCTCGGAAAGGTTTGGTGACAGCCCCTGGGCAGGAGAGCAGAACGGGGGTCTCCACCCTGCTTTTCTCACCATTAGCGTGAAACCGAGGAGGCACAGGAAGATGACAGGTTCTCCGGTTCCTCCTAAAAGTCACCACCCTAGAATCACCACCAAATGGAGTCCCACAATAGCCCCTGATTTACATAATTTGCTGGGAAGGGACCCGGATGGACATGGGCTGGACACTGAGCCCCTCAAACTGCCCACTATCCCCTATTCAGATGGAGCAGGACTCCAAATTCCTCTGGCCCCCGAAGGAACGTCCCTTTCAGATGGCTCATAACTGCTCCCAGTACCCTCTGCTCCTGGCTGGGCCCAGTCACCATTTTTAAGTGCAAATTAAAATAACAAGGAGAGGGCTGGGGATTTAGCTCAGTGTTTCTGATGTCTGCTTTCCAAGCACAAAGTCCCGAGTTTGATCCCTGGTACCAAACAAAACAAAACAAAAACAAAAACGAGGAGATAGATAGTTTTGTCAGCCATGTTGACCAAATGCTTAAAAACTGATGATATTAATACTGACAAGGGAGTGGGAAAATGGGCCTTCTTGAAACCATTGGTGGTGGTATAAACTAGTTCTACGTTTTTTACTTTTTTTCTTTTTTGTGGTACTGAGGATTGAATCCAGGGCCTTTACGTTAAGTTACATCCCCAGCCCTTTTAATTTTTTAATTAATTAAAAAAAATTTTTTTTGGTGCTGGGGATCGAACTTGGGACCTTGTGCTTGCAAGACAGGTGTCAGCACCACTGAGCTAAATCCCTGGCTCAATTAAAAAAATTTTTTTTGGTACTGGGGATCGAACTCAAGACCTTGACCTCGTGAGGCAGGTGCACTGAGCTAAATCCCCAGCCCTAATTTTTTTATTTTGACCCAGGGTCTAAGTCACTAAATTGCCCAGGCTGGGCTCAAATTTACAATCCTCCTGCCTTGGCCTCCCAGAGTGCTAGATTACAGGTATGAACCACGATCCCTGGCATGGTAGCACCCTTTAAAGTTCCTAGAGCTGGGGATTTAGCTCAGTGGTTCTGGCACCTGCCTTGCAAGTGCAAGGTCCCGAGTTCGATCCCCGGTACTAAAAAAAAAAAGCATAAGGTCCTGAGTTCGATCCCCGGTATCAAAAAAAAATAAAAGATATACAAGAAAGTGCCTAGAATGGACAACTTAGCGACTGTGGCAAAAAAAAAAAAAAAAAAAAGTAAAAAGATCTGGGGATACAGCCCAGTGTGAAGGCCCTGGGTTCGTTCCACAGCACAATGACAACAGTGAGCAGTGGGCATCCTGCCGGTGTTTGCACCCACCAAAACACAAAATGCCAAAATGGGCTTGGCCTTCAAGCATCTCCCCCTCTTACCAACTTCAGACCCACATAACAGAAATCAAAGGGCCATTTGCAAACCAGCCCCCCCAAAAACATCAAAGTTGAGCCAGGCCCAGCAGCAGGCTCCTGCAGTCCCAGACACTAAGGAGGCTGAGGCAGGAGAATCACTTGAACCCAGCATTTCCATGCCAGCATGGGCAACAGAAAGAGAGCCCATCTCTTAAAAAAAAAAAATTAAGCCTAAAAATAAAACTTTTTTAAAGGCATGAAAAATTCTCAGAATTGGGGATGTGGTGAGGGGAAAATAAAATAATAACGGTGGCAGGGCCAGTGAGGATAGCTGTGTGCCTGAAATTGTTGTTTTGCCAACTCCTACCTTCACATGCATAAATCCAAATGCAAACTGAGCTGCTGAACAATGGAGCTCCCCAAAGTTACTGTAATTATAATAATCAGCCCATCACACCCAGAAAAGTGGGGATTACCAGCAATTAATCCACACCTACACACCCACAGACCCGGCTGCTCTTCCTCCTCTGAGAACAGCTGCCCTGGGTGACTGGGGGGTGCCTGCTGGACACTCGCCACTCGTGCCCCCCACAGAAGGGCACCAGCATGCACTCTTGGACCGCAGGGTCCCTGCTGCCATTCTGCCCTCAGCTCCCCCCTTCCACCTGACTTAAGCTGCCTGGACCACTCCATCTCTGCACTCCAATCCTCCCCTGCTCCCCATCCACTCCCACCCGAGGCCAAAGCCACCGGCTGGTCCATGCCCAGGGTGGTCCGGTGGGTAGGCACAGAAGGATCCAGGCCAGGGTGAGCCAGCCTAAGGCCAGGGGCTGCAAGATTTTGGGTGAGGCTGGCGTGGAGGGCGTTTTCAAAGAGGAAAAAGGTCATGGGTGATGTAGTGGTGACTGACAGGTCACTGGAACCCACGGAGCGGCGGCCAGCCCGCCAAAATGGGAGGATGGAAAGGAGGCCTGCAGCGAGGGGAAAGGGGCATGGACTTCCTACCTCATGGAAGCCCAAGCTCAAAAGACACCAGGTCACACTGACTGGTGGGTGGCCCGTCCTCTGTCCTTTCCCCCTTCCCCAGCACCAGCCCTTGAGGCCTGCTGCAGGGAGATATCAAAGGGAATGGTGAGGAGCCATGAACCTCATCCAACGGGGACCCCATGTTGCCCAAAATGGCCCCATAAGACCGAGGAAAGTGTAAGACGGGCCAGCTGGGGCGGCCACACCTGTAATCCCAACACTCTGGAAGGCTGAGCCAGGAGGATCAAAAGTTCAAGCCATGCCTGAGCAACTTAGGGACTTAGTGAGACCCTGTCTCAAAATAAAACATAAAAAAGGGCTGGAGATGTAGCTTGGCACAAAGGCCCTGACTCATATTTCCAGTACCAGAAAAATTAAAAAGTCAAAGATTATAAAGCACACAGACACAGGCACATGTTTATGAAACAAGAAGACTTGGTGATATTTAGGAATTTCTTTTAAAATTTGCTAATGGTATTGTAGGGCTTGTCTGTACATTTGTTTGTTTTTGTTTTTTGGGTTTTTTTGAGACAGGATCTTGCTGTGTAGTCCAGCCTGGCCTTGAACTCACTATGTAGTCCAAGCTGGCCTGGAACTCATGGCAACCCTCCTGCCTCAGCCTCCCGAGTGCTGGGATTAGAGGTGTGCACCACTACACCTGGCTGTTTTTGAGACGGGGTCTTGCTGTTACCCAGGTTGACCTAGAACTTGAAAGCCTCCCACTTCAGCCTTCTGAGTAGCTGAGATGATGGTCATTTTTTGTTTTTTTTAAAAATTAATTTATTTTTTTTGGTTTGAACTCGGGACTTTGCACTTGCATGGCAGGTGCCAGAACCACTGAGCTAAATCCCGGGCCCCGTTTTATTTTTTTACGATTCATTTTCACGGGTGCAGGGAGAAAGATTTAAGGGTGAAACAACATCGGGATTTACTAATTACTCACTATATTACTAATATACTTGCAATTAGAGAGGGATGGAAGCAAGTGAAGATAAAGAAGAAACAAAGGGCCGGGGATTTAGCTCAGTGTTTCCAGTGCCTGCCTTGAAACTTCAAGGTCCCAAGTTCAATCCCCGGTACCAAAAAAAGAAGAAACAAGGCTGGACCAGTACAAGGAACTGTTGAAACTGAGTGATGGGTAGATAAAAACCTAGTACATCTTTCTGAGCACTTTAGATTTTTTTTTCATAATAAAAAAATTTAGCGTAGGTGAGGCCCCGGGTTCCATCCTTAGCACCAATAAAAAGGTGCGGGGTAAGTGTATGGATCTAAAAGGGAACAGCGACAATTTTCCAATGAAAGTTGCACATCAGGAACTTAGGAGAGAAGAAGGCTGGAGCAGAATGTTACACGCCCTGGAAGTGCTTCCCTGAAGTACCCGGATGGACCCATCGCTGCCACCCCAGCCCTGACCAGACCCAAAGCCTCGGCTGGCATGCCTTCCGCCCTTGCCCTCCAATGGGGCTGTGGGAAGGTCTGCTGGGGCCGTGGCAGGGTGGAGGGCCAGGAGGCCCCACTCTGTCCTCCGATGATGGATGGAAGCCACCAGCTGTGCCTGCACCTCAGTGGCACCGACTGTACAATGGGGAGAGAGCTTGTGTACCCGGCGCACAGTGAAATAATGGAAGTGAAAGCACCTGAGTTCATTGAACCAGCGAGGTCGTAGGATAGCATGGTTGGCTGTCTTTACCGGCAGCTGCGGGGGACAGAGAAAGAAAGCCCGGCTTTGTGTCACTCAGCAACGATGTGCTGGGGAAGTTCAGGGGCGCTCTTGGTGTCTCCTGGGCCATTTTTCTGTCTGTGCAGTGGGAGAGCTGGATGGGATCTTCTAGGTCCCTTCCAATTTGGACATGCAGGGACCAGGAGCCAGCCTGTCCTTGGGGACACCAGAGAGGGACCGGGTGGGGCGGCAGAAAGGAATTATCAGAAGGCCTCAGAAATGGAGGCTGAGCTGCCTTCCCCGGGATGAACCCACAGGTGTCAGCTGGAGCCGAGATGCATGAGCAATGCCGGGTTTAAATACCCGCTGGGCACGGCCTTTCCCGGAGCCTGCCCCAGCCCCACCCTTGGTCCTTTTCAACACCTCCAGGACAACAGTGACAATCATCCCTGCACCCAGAGTGCCTGGCTGGTCCTCCACCCACACCGCCCCACTGGGGATCGTGGGGCACATGCAGGCTGTCATACTACACAAATTAAACACTAAACAAACACCACACAAATTGCAAGTTTCTCTTTCTTTCCTCACTATGGGGCTTGATCCGGAAGCAGCAGCCTCAGCCCCAAACGCTATGGCTGATGTACCAGGCTCGGGACCCACCTTCCCCAGAATGTCAGTGAACATATGGATGCAGGAGTGGGCACGTTTTCAGGGACCAGCGAGCCCTAAAGGGCTGGCCACCACCTCAGACCCTGGTGAGGGGCACCTACTTAGGCCTGAGCCATTTAGGTTAAACGGATCCGTGTCCCCCACAATCTTCGATGTCCCCCCTCTGCACTACACACACACACACACACACACACACACACAGAGGCGACATATGATCTCAAACTTACACCGGAAAGAAAACTTGGCTTGGCGACTGCTTCTCCATGTCACCAAATCCCAGTCTGCTACCCCAGCACTACTACCACGGCTGCCCTAAGCCAGGGCGCAGCAGAGAAGGAACATGGGCGGTAGGCACAGGAAGCCCAGGGCATCAGGGGTTAGGATGTGGCCCCAACACTCCAGTTTGCCACCCGGGGGTCTAAGAGGCGCACAGCCCCATCAGGCCCAAATGCGCGCTCCCGGACCCCAGCAGAGCGCGGGCGCGCGCCAGCCTGGCCTCTCTCGGGGCCTTGCACAGGGCGGCCCGGTCGGAGCCCCCCAGAGCGCTCCCTGTCCGCGCTGCAACCCCGCTCGCCTCCCCGCTGGAGCCTGAGCCCAGACGAAGGACCGCAGACCCGAGCGAGGTCTGGGCAGAAAAAAGGCAGAGAGGAAAAACACCAGCGTCGGCCCCGGCACGCGGCACTCACCGGCCCTGCTTGGTGATGATCATCTCCGTCTGGTGCTGGTTGAACTTGGACCACAACAGGTGGTTGTTGAGCGCGACTCTCAGCTTCCCGGACACCTCGAGCCCCGCGGGCAGCGCGAAGTCGTCGTGGGGCCCGGGGTAGAGCCCGGCGCGGGGGTCTGGGGCCGCGTAGCCGCTGTCCCCGGAGGGCTGGAAGCCGTCGGCCCCCGCGGACGGCGGGAAGGGCTCGGGCGCCCCCGGGAAGGCGGCGGCCGGGGCCCGGGGCGGGTACGCGTAGGCGCCGAGGAAGCGGCCCGGGGTTGCAGGCACCAGAGCACCCCCAGCGTAGGGAGCCCCGAGGCCGCCGCCCCCGAGACGGTCGCCCGCGTCGTGCGCGCCCGGGTCCGGGTAGAAGTAGCGCGGCTGCGGGTCCCCGGGCGCGCGGCCCTCGTCGCTCGTCAGCATCGGCTCGGTGCCCGTCAGCATCTCTCGGCAGCCCGGCCCCACGACGCCCATCCGGGGCGCGCTGGGCACCTGCCTCCCTCAGCCGTCGGGGGCCGGTCCCTCTCCGCGCAGGGGGAGGGGCGACGGGGTCGACGGGGGGGGCTGGGGCAGGTCCTGGGGGGTCCCCACCCCCCGGCCTGGGCTGGGAGTGGGCTCCTGGCCGGCCTGCGGCGGCTCCTGGGCTCCCTCTCCTGCGGGCCGCTGTCACTAGCGCCGCGCCCGCCTTCGCTGTGGCTTTATGAAGCTCTCGGTCCCCCACCCGCCACCCCGGCCCCGCCCCGCCCGGCCCCGCCCCCTCGTGGCCAATGCCCGGCGCAGTCTAAGCTGCGGCTGTCGGCCAGGACTGCGACTGCGCCCCCCCACCCGCGGCGGAGCCAAGCAGGCCCCTTGCTTCTGTACCCCTGGCCTTCGTGCTTAAAGAGCTTGCATTCTGGGAAAGTCAACCCTGCCACGTGAAGCCCCGGGCCTGTCACTGTCCCCGGACCCTGGGGAAGTTCCACCCGTCTTTGAGGGCTCAGCTCGCAGGCCCAGTCCTACAGGAAGCCCTCGGTGAGGACGGCCCAGATGGGACCAGCTGGGCATTGCTGCAGCACTGGCAGGCTTAGATGGTCACTGAGGCCTATTGTGCCCTCGGGCTGTGTGCTGAGTGACTTTGGATGGAGCTTTGTCCTCTTTTTCCTAGCCAGAGGTCCCCTGGGCCATGTCTGGGTATCTTGCACCTTCAGCCCTTGGGCAGACGGGAATCAGGTGGGCAGCAGTTTCCTTAAAGGGGATTGCAGGCAGCAGCAGCAGAGATGGGGGTCACAGAGCCCTGGGCTGGGCTGAGCTGCAACCACAAAAGCTGTCACATATGGCAGAGAGCTGTGGGCACTGCAAGTGACATGGGGCTGCCCTTCACAGTGTCCCAGGACTGGCTCTGCCTGCGACTCAGGTTTATGTGACCAGAACCTGTCACTGCCCATGCCTGAGCATCAGCTCCCAAGCCTCATCTGGGAACTGGGGCAACAAACACATCTACTTCTCAGGGCGAATTTAGAGCCTTACACTAGTGAGTGTCAGCGTGCAGCACTTTCCGATCTTACTGCATTTTGGTGGGGTTTTTTTGGAACCGGAGATCAAACTTGGGTCCTTCCGCTTGCAAGGCAGACGGTAGAAGCACTGAGCTAAATCCCCTGCCCCGATCTTAACCATAGCTGGGTGGAAAGCTGCATCCAAAGACTGAGCAGGAGGCCACGGGCAGTCACCTCAGCTGACAGGCTACACGAGCTCTTCAGCCTCCGTTTTCCTTTTCTGCTAACTAAAGTAATCATTCTTTTCTTGATGAAACATATCCCCACCCCAAATGAAAATAGTACCATGGGGAGTTTTTCATGTATAAAGATAAAACAAATACAAATGTAAAAATCTAAAGGTGAGTCTTATGGAAATCTTTTAGATTTCACACACACAAAAAAGTCTAAGCAAGCAGAACAAAAAGGCAAAAGCAAGGCTCTATAAATCACTCCAAGTTCTACCCCTCAAAGGCAAACAGGATTAACATTCCCGTGCATACTGCCTCTGTTTCTGTCTTTTGCACACAGACACAAACACATCATTTCACATGGACACCACACATGTTGCTTTGTAATTGTGTTTTGTTTTTTCACTCACAAGGTGTCATGGAAATTTCTGCATGTCGATAAATAAGTTTACATGTTAAAGAGGGCTTTGAAAGATACTCTATCATGGTTTCATCCTGTTACAGCTTAACTTCTCCTTTCCCCCATCCCTGCCCTCCCCAGTCCTCCCCTGGGGGCTGCCCCATCTCTACATTTCTGTCCCAGCCCAACAGGGCTTCACCCTGAAGAGCCCGTGGGGACACTCTGCTCCCAACTAGAGCTGAACGAGAGGCAGGCTGTGAGGGGAAGCTGAAGCTGGGGACTCCAGGAGGCGGGCATGACCCGGGCGGGGGGACCAGCATGTCCTCTAGGATGGGAGCCACATTCACAGCAGCCCCAAAATAGAGTCTGGCCCCCTCCCCAGCCCTTTCCCACCCTCTTCCCAATGCCCAGAGGAAGGCGGAAGTTTCTGCCTGCTGCTGGAAATGGGGCAGCCTTGCTTGAAAGAGGGTGACCTTGGGACCCTGGGCTATTTTTTGTGAAACCTAAGAGATTTCCATGAGACTCACCTGAATGAGTGCTTCCATCTTTTTGGGGGGCGACACTTTCTCTAAGTGCCTGGCTGGGGAAGGCCAAATGGTGTCTCATTCCTCCCTCTCTCCCTCCCTCACTCCCTCCAGGTCCAGTGCACCTTCCCTGTCCTTCTGAACAGGCTGGCTGAGCTCCAGAGCAGGACAGACAGTGGATCTCAGCATCAGGCGGCCCTGGGGACCCATCTCTGGCAGCACAGGGAGCTGAGGATGGTCGCTACAGCCTGGCGGGCCCTTAGGGGGTCTCACAGCCTGGCTCATTAACCCCAGATTCCTCACGCCCCTCCTCCCTCCAATTTCCTCAACCCAAAAAAGAAAGTGCATGTGAAAAGCGGGGGCTGAGTGGCCCTGGTGTCACCACTGCCAGTCCCGCCCCTCTGCCAGCTTGGGTGAGAAGAGCCCTGGTGGTGACACCTCCTCTTCCTGCTGCCACCTCACCCTCCTTCCCAGGCTCCAGGGCTGGAGAGGTGGGAAAAGAGGAGAGAGGCCCCCTGGGATCCCCCGGCTTTCTGGCTTTGCCAGGCGGCTCTGGTGGGACAGGAGTAAAGAGACACGGGGAGGGTGTCCAGGGTGGCACAAAAGGTCCCCAACCACAGGCAGATTTTACGAGGCAGGCTGGACTGGTAAGGCTGGGAGACAATGACCGAGCAAAGTCGCACCTCGCAAGACCTGTGCGGCTGAGCTGGGCTGGAAGACTCCTGGACCAGTGCTCCTCCCAAGAGCCTGAGGGGGAATTGGCACAACGAACAAAGCCAGCTGGAGGATCCCCTTAGAGGAGGTTCAGAAAACCTCAGCCCTTGTCCCCTTGAGTGCCCAAGACTCCCTTTCCAGTTGCTTCCCACAGAGACTCGGAATTGCAGGGCACCCTGAGGCCACAAAGCACCCTGAATATCCGTGCCACGGCCCAGGGCGGAAGCTGTTAGTTTGGATTTCTGGCATTTGCCTCTAGAGAGTCCAACTGCTGGGAGGCCTGCAGGGAGCGCCAGCCACTGTGCGCTGGAGGACTCTGGGCGACAGGGGCTCTGCGTCACACTCTCAGGCTCCATACCTTGTTCTCCATCGTGCCAGTCAGCGCATCCAGAGTTTGCAGGGTAGGCACCCCAAGGTTGGGGAGGAGGGCATTGAGGGCATTGAGATCCCCTCATCCATGCACTAGAACCAGCTGCCTCTCAGTGTCCCTAAATCCCATCTTTTTCTTTTTTGGGGGATCGAGCTCGGGAGCTTGTGCTTGTGAGGCAGGCAGCAGAACCACTGAGCTAAATCCCCAGCTCCTCCCATCTTTTTCTTGCTGTGCTGGGGATGGAACTCGGGGCCTTGTGCACGCCAGGCGAGTGCTCCCCACTGAGCTGCACCCCGGCCTCTGGAAGCAGCTGAACCTCCCCAGTTTCCTCATCAGCAAATGAGCTAACGGAGCAGCTGCCAGGACTAACTCGGTCTGCAAAGGCTGAGGGCTCTGAGCCAAGGCAGGGGCAGAACCGTTCCTCTTTCCTCCACTCCCAGCTTCCTGCATCTTCTCCTTCTGCCCTCGGCTTTCAGGGCTCATCCACAAAGGGTCCTCAAATCTACCTTGGCCTTGGGCCTCAGGAGAGCCCGAGTGTTCCCAAGATTCCCAGCTCAGAAAGGAGCAGCCTGGCCTCCGGCACCCATACCCAGTCCCTGCGCACTTCAGCCTGAGTTCAACCAGGGCCTGGGGACTGGGGGGTCACAAAGGAATTAGGATCAGGCCCTGCATCCAAAAGAGCTCTTGCTACTGAGGTGATGCCCAGGGCCTCTGGAATACAAACACCAGCCAGGGCACACACTGCCTCACACGCACCCACGCGCACACACAAACTCACAGAGCTCCGCTACAGAAATCCAGTCCCCCAGCCCCACCTCTTTGGTCCCCCATGCAGCTTTCAGGGCTCCCCAGGCATCGGACTCTGCCCATCCACCCGCTCTGAACCCGCCTCTCGGGCCCAGGCTGCCAGTCCTTCAGAGAGCATGGCCGGAAGCGTCGGATTAACAGCAAGGGAGGGGGTGCTGACAGGCACCTGTAGGTCACCCCCCCACCGTGACAGCTGCAGGAGTTCCGAGTCCTGAGCACCAGGTGGCTGGCTGGTGAGTGCCGATGCAGGCGGGAGGGCTCATCCCAAGGTCACCCCCACCCTGGGTCACCCATCCCCGCTCCAGCACCCCCGCTAGAAGGCCCATACCCTTGGGCTCCAGACCACTGTTGGGTCCTGCGTTTGAGTCCTACCCTGCACGGCACCCTATCTCTAATGATCTGTCCCTCTTGCTAAATCTCTCGTCAGCTTTTCCTACGAGGCCCACGCATTATCACGCACCTCTCCACCCCACACCTCACCCCACGGAAGGCACACTCAGCCTGGGGCTCCGCTTTATGTTCCAAAGGGACACTGAGCTGTTGGGCACATGCCGAAGGGGCAAGCCAGGGTTTCAGGGAGCCCTAGGGAGAGCCCCCCCCCCATACTGGCTTTAATCTCAGGCAGGAAGCAGGGTCTGGTTACCGGGTGGGGGGGCAGTTCCCAGGACTTTGGGTAAAGGGAGCTGGGAGGGGCAGAGGGAGAAGAGCCAAGGAAGGGCACCGGAGGGAGGACAGGGCCATGGGCTTTACCCCGGCGCTGCCAGGTGAGGCTGGGCCAGGCCGGGCCTCCCTGCAAGCCACTCCAGGGCCTCTGGCCTGAGGACAGCAAACAGCCCCTGCCTGGCCCCTCGTTCTCCCCTAGGCCCTCTCCACTTCCTATGAGCTGGACTTATCTGCTCTTATCGATCTCCAGGGTTTCTGGGTCTCTGGGCACCTCCGTCCCGGGAGCTGTGGACC